CCATGCCAAATCTGCTCCTCAGATTTCTCTGCCGAAAAAGGAAGCTTGTCGGCAGCACGAGGAGTTTGGTAACTAGTACAACGACCAGATAACTTACATGACTGGATCAAGCAGACAAAACATGGGAACCTGGAACCATGTCGACATTAGATTACCCTGGTAGTAATCTCTATTAATCTCCAGTATTATTACATTGTTTGATACAATATTGTTTTATTTGATATTATGTAAATGTGAATTTTTATTTTATATGGGTTTATTTATTATTATCATATGTTCTATTTATATTGTTTAAAGATTTAAGTTAATATTGTGTCCAGTTTGGCCCTGTAAATAATATTGTATTATTTTTTGACAAAGTGTGTGCGGTTTCGTTTTCTTAAGTAACCGGTTCAAGAACCGTTTAAGCACCAGAACCGTTTAAAAAATACCGAGTAGGTACTGGTATCGGATAAAACCCAACCGATACCCAACCCTAGAGAAGGGACAAGGGCCTCGCATTGATCAGTACTTCTTACGAAGTCAGTCAAGTCAGTCGAATGAAATCCAGCGACAGGAAGCAAACCACAGCTCGCAGGATATCAGCACCCCTGTCATAGAGGAGAAGAGGGCTTGCACAGTTGGTGATGAACATATTCATACTTGTGAACCTGGTCAGACTAACCAGCATAAGAGAGAAAAGAACCTCAACGGGCATAGGCCTGGAGTTAGATGGCCAAGAGCTTGTGAGAAAACTGCATGGGACACGTTAAACACAATGCTTTGCATTGGAAAGATTAACTGGTACAGTTAAAAAAAGAAGCTGGATAAATTTGGGGACATCATTTACGCATATGGAAGTGAGAGGTTTGGTGTGGAAAAAAGGAAGGAAAAAGTACAAACTACTCCTGGAATGTCTAGACGGCAGCAGAAAATTGAAGGGTTAGTTAGAGAAAGGAGACAGCTGAAGAAGCAATGGAAAAGAGCAGAACAAAGTCAGAAGGAGGGACTCAATCTCTTACGAAGGGCCATAAAAGATAAGCTGGCAACATTACGCAGAGCTGAGCGCCTACGGAAACGCTACAAAAAGAAGGAACGTGCGAGGGCTAATTTCTATAAAGACCCATTCAAATTCGTAAAGAAGTTATTCACCAGGGAGAAGAATGGCACTTTAAAAGCATCTAGGGTTGAGCTAGAGAGATATTTGGAGAAAACGCATACAGATGCAAAAAGGCATGAGGCTATGTCAATTCCATCAGACATACCACCTATCAACCCACCAGAATACCAAATGGAGGTCTGTGCACCTAAGTGGAAAGAGGTAGAGCAGGCTGTGAGAAAGGCAAGGGCTTCATCATCTCCAGGGCCTAATGGAGTTCCGTACAGAGTGTACAAGAGTGCTTCAGGAGTTCTGCGAATTCTGTGGAAATTGATAAAAGTGGCATGGGAAAAACAGGTTGTACCTAGAGCATGGCGCAGAGCAGGTGGAGTCTTTATACCTAAAGAAAAAGATGCTACAAGCATCAGTCAGTTTCGTCCTATTTCACTATTAAATGTTGAAGGTAAGATTTTCTTCAGCATTATTGCCCAGAGATTGTCCACCTACCTATTAAAGAATGGCTTCATTGACACTTCAGTTCAAAAAGCAGGCATTCCAGGGTTCTCAGGATGCTTAGAACACATCAATGTTATCTGGCAACGAATTCAGTCAGCAAAAAAGGAGAGGAAGGAGCTCCATGTGACATTCCTGGATTTGGCTAATGCATATGGTTCGGTGCCACATGAGCTTCTTTGGGCAGCATTTGATTTTTACAGAGTACCAATGTCAATAACAAATTTAGTGAAAGCCCATTTTGGAGATTTGCAATTTAGTTTCTCAACTCCAAAATTCAGCACTGCGTGGCAATGCTTAGAGGTTGGAATAATGGCAGGATGCACCATTTCTCCGCTGGCTTTTACCATGGCAATGGAAGTAATCATTAGGGCATCAAGATGGGTAGTAGGAGGAGAGAGCTTGGCTATTGGGATGCGACTATCACCAATCAGAGCATACATGGATGACATGACAACCATTACTACAACAGTAGCCTGCACTAATCGGTTATTGGGGAAGTTAACAGATAATATTGAATGGGCACGAATGCAATTTAAGCCCTCTAAATCAAGGAGCATCTCAATAGTTAAAGGAAAGGTAGTAGATAAAACATTCTTCATTAATGGTGAGGCAATACCAACAGTTTCTGAGAAGCCAGTGAAGAGTCTTGGGAGATGGTACTATGGGGATCTAAAGGACACAGTTCGAGTGGGAGAAGTTAGACGACAAGCAGTGGAAGGGTTGAAGAGCATAAACAGCTGTGCTCTACCAGGCAAACTAAAACTCTGGTGCTTTCAGTTTGGTCTACTGCCGAGGTTGCTGTGGCCACTGACTGTGTACGAGGTTTCTTTGACAACAGTGAATAAGCTGGAAGCGTTAATAAGTTCATACATCAGGAAATGGTTGGAAGTTCCGCGCTGCCTCAGCAGAGTGGGACTTTATAGTAAAGGAGTATCGCAGCTGCCAGTCTCTGCTTTAACCGAGGAGTTTAAGTGTGCCAAGGTCAGACTGGAAATGACCTTAGTGGAGTCACGTGACAAATGTGTAAGGGAGCCCCTGTGTTAAAAACTGGTAGAAAGTGATCAGCAAAGAAAGCTGTAGGAGAGGCAAAGGCTGACCTTCAAATTGGGGATATCGTGGGACAGGTACAGCATGGAAGATGGAAGAGGGGGTTTTGGGGTCAGTTTAGCTCCTCCTAAATGGCACAAGGCGGGCCCAGCTCAAAGGAGGAAGCTAGTAGTAAACAAGGTGCGAAAGCAGGAGGAGAGGATGAGGTGTATAAAGGCCATTTCCCAGGCCAAGCAGGGAGAGTGGATGAGATGGGAGAGTGTGGAACAACGCAAGATGGGCTGGCAAGACCTTTGGTCAATGGAAGAGAGTAGGATCAGTTTCCTTATTAGGTCAACATATGATGTTCTCCCATAACCGCAGAGCCTAAACCTCTGGGTAGGAGAGGATCCCTCTTGTCCTTTGTGTTCATCACCTGCCACATTAAGGCACATTTTGACAGGATGTAAGGTGGCTCTTAGCCAAGGTCGGTTTACTTGGCGCCATGACCAAGTACTGCGATGTTTGGCTTTAGCATTGGAAGCCAAGCGTAGTATGACCAATAAGTTGCCGTCTGTTCTAGCAAAACATTACATGCAGAAGACAACATTCCTCCGCCCAGGCGAGCAACCACCAAGAAAAGGTGTTAACACCAATTCTCGCCCAGGACAACTGGAAGCTGCTAGGGGCTGGAAGATGCTGGCTGATCTTGATCAACGGCTTATTTTTCCACCTGAGATTGCCACCACTAACCTACGACCAGATATTGTTTTGTGGTCTGGATCAGCACGCATTATTCAACTGATAGAGTTAACAGTGCCATGGGAGGATGCGGTAGATGAGGCATATGAGAGGAAGAAACTGCGGTATGCTCATCTGGCCACTGAAGCAGAACAGCGAGGATGGAGAGTCCAGGTTTATCCGGTGGAAGTGGGTTGTCGAGGTTTTGTGGCACACTCTACAACCCGGTTCCTCAGAGACGTCGGATTCCGTGGCCAAGAGTTGCGTCGCACAGTAAAGAACTTATCTGAAGCAGCAGAAAGGAGCAGCAACTGGCTGTGGTTGAGATGGAAAGATTCTAGCTGGCTGTGTACAGGGCGCCATGCTACGGTTTCGTAGAATTATTGAAAAACTTGAAGAGTCTGTTGGTTTATTTTGTATAGGTTGTATAGTATTTACAGTCATTACGTTCCTGTGTATATTGCGTGAGTGATGGATGGTTGGGCAGATATTGTGTTTTGCGGTAGGTGGTATGCCATACGGAACCGTTGCCACTGAAACTGCATATTAACGCACCAGTGGGGCTCGACAGCCTTAGTCAAACGGGTTGGCGCGTATGGTTGGGTTGCGGAGAGATTGTGAGATTGTGGTTAAGTCTCAGCAGCAGGAGGGATGTAGAGGTCAGTAAGCTGGGCTGAGTTGAGTGGGGGACGGAGGGGGGTGACTCTGGGACGCCAGAGTCACTGTCGAGCCCTCTTGAGGTGTCGTGGGCTAGTCGACGAAACACTGAGGACGGAAGGTGCCCACTTGAAGACCCTAGAGATGTCCCCTACTCGGCTCAATCCAGATGGTTGTCGTGCTGGTCCACTAGGGAGACCACACTGTAGTTGCAGCCGTCGTGTGTGCTGACGCGCCAAGTACACTGCAGCCGTTAACGCCGGACAGAAGGGGAGTCACACCACCATATGGAAAGAAGCGTAAATGGATGGAGAAGGATAGTTTACTGTAAATCTACATCTTAGTGTTGCTTATCTTGGCGAAAGCCGAGTACAAATCAGCATGAAGTTTTAACATCTACTCTCGTGTAATGGAAACCACAGTTCTCATATTACTAGGCATGTTTAGTTCTTGCATATAAGAGATATTGTCAATGATGTTACAACATGCACGCAAAAACAATGAATATGCATGAAGACCTTGTGCATCCTCAGTCCTTAATGATGGCCAACTGAAAGCCTTTTCCATATATGCAGCTGCAATCTGGAATTCATCACCAAATTGCTCCTTGAGAAGTTTCTTAGCTAATAAATACCCTACTTCTGGATCAAGATGTTGGCAACTTTGAACCAGTACTCTGGGTTGTCCTGTTGTGAATTGCTCCAGAAAATACAAGCAGTCGCTTTTATTGCGAGTCCCTTCTTCAACACTGCGCTCAAAAGCTCTAATGAATGGCACATAGCCTACTGAAGTGGATTACCATCAAAGATTTCAACATTCAACTTCAGATTTTAATTTTTACAGGTTTTCACATTGGAGCTGCAAGTGTAAATGTTCACATACGAATATTTATTGTACAAGTTCTCAAACTCACATCTACGTGCTCTCGAGTATTGCTACTCTTTTACCTTCATATTATTGTGGCAGACAAGTAACCACTAAATAGACTTTATACAAAGTGGCTTCAGAAGTTATACATTTTATCTCCATGTCACTGAACATAAGTAAATCAATTTAATCGTTAGTTTATTAAATTTGTCAAATGGCCTTTTACACTGCGTTGGGAAACAGTTTAAAGATGCAGGTTCAAATCTTGGGGAGAAGTTACACTATATTGATTTTTTGTTTTCTTTACAATAATAACAACAACAACAACAATTATGACAAATAACACCAGACACACTATAATCACCGACAACACAATCAGTAAAGGTGTTCCATTTCTGCACTCAGCATCAGACGTCTGTGTTCCTGACATGACTGTTATTTTGCCAAGAGATTCACACCTGTTAGAGTGAGGAGCTCAAGTTAAACTATATATCTGCAAAAAAATAGCTTGATTTAACCACTAAACTATACTGAAGCAAATTAAAAACCAACAAATGCAAATTTCATTTTAAGAAAGTGTGAAAAATCAATGTTGTAAAATGATACTTACTTTGTATGTAAATTGCAGAATGTACCATCTGAATATGAACCAGCAGGACAGTCATTACACACTGTATCACTAAATTCAGTTCCTATAAACACACAGAAATATAAAGCACTTAAGTTTCAACTCCAGGAGCAATAAAGTAAGGGACAGGTCTCACAGCTAGTGACATCATTGTTCAGTAGGCCTATAGCATCTGGCACACAAAATGAATCAATGCTGCTAGAGTCAAAAGCAAACAATATGTCTGTCATAAGGATCTGTAGTAAATCCACATTCATAGTAAATGGATTCTCTTTTCCATGTGTGATGAAAAGTTGTTAAGCTAATTTGGAACAAATGCAAATGTCCATTTTTACAGTTATTTGATATAAATGCAAGCAAAGTTATTGTTCTCAGATGTCATCTCGGCCTATCAGTTTTTGTGGATAGCTATTTGAATGAAAACAGACTGACCGGTTTGGTTGACATATTGTCCAGGTGAGCAGGTTGAATGTTTCATAGCCTTTGGACAGCTTAAGTGCAGGTCTATACAGTAATAACCTGGCATGGGTTCGCACACTGTATTTGATATTAATGTACATGCCTGCTTTACTCTCAGACCATTACCTTTGACAAGAAAGGAAACAAATGAGTCAGTTGTAGTAAACCTGCTAATGACAAGTCATCTGGAAAAAAGATAAAGAAAACAAGATAAAGTAATTTTTACTCACTTGGATCACAGACTGAACATGGCAGACATTTGGTCAACCCATTAGGACTGTTAGTATAGGTCATCACACGGCACGAATCACATGTAGTGCTTGTGGTCTCATCACAATGCCTATAAACTCGCTTTCCTAGAAAAAAAAATTACCAACACATTATTGATACAAGTCTTAAATGCAAATAACAACTTGTACATATATGTTTTGGCATAAGCTGCATTAATCTGTGTATTTCTGTAAATTGTGTAAACACAGGGTCAGATATAAACAAGTTAAATTTAAGACTTTAAGACCACCTTTTTAATGCAACCTTATGAAAAATGAAATTACATACGTTTATGTAATATTTAATGTAAAAAGAAAACAAAATATCATCACTGTCATAAATGCTATTAATTATTATGATATCCTACAGTGAACGTATCATATCAGCAGATAATATCCCATACAGTCCTATACAGTCACAAAAGCACTGCATCACCGAGATCTTAGGTTGTGTAAACAGTTTATTCTGAAGAAATATTTTTCATCAGTGTTCTATAAGCTTTTACATAGCCTACTTACACTTTTTAATATCATAATTTTTATATCTTTACCTTTATAAAAGGCAATTTTTTTAACCTTATTAAAATATGCATCATCTTTCATGTCAAATTCTTACATTTGATAAATGAATTCAATATGCATTATAGGGCTGTTACCAATTAAATTAAATAATGTACACTGCAAAATTACTACTGCAATAAACAATGTTATGAGATTCATATTTTAAAAACATTTTTGAATATACAAATAAGAAATGTTGGAAGAAATGCATACTTTTAAACAAGAAACTAAACCGCCAGTAGGTGGCGTAAGTCAGTTAATGAGTGCGTTATTGAGTCTTTCACTATTCAGTAACAAAACACCACTACTGCTTCGAGATACGCAATATTCTGCTCTGATCTTTTTGAACTATTTTCGTTGGTAAAACAGAACAAAAACAGTCAATATTGTATCTAAAATGTCAGTAGGCTAATTTAATATCAACTATAGCCTGCTTGTTTAATGAACTATAACATTTGCAATCGTGAGAATATTAGGCAAATAGCTCCCTTGTCATGTTGTTATTTATATGTTTTAATAAAAAAAATCTAAACATTTAGAATTTATATCTCAGTATAGCCTACTTCTGTGAGTTTCTTTGGGCAAAGTGTACTGCTACACTCATTTGTTTTGATTTTTTCTCTCACAGCTTCAACAGCGTTACCAGAAATCAATTATCAATCGCTGTTTATGTAATAAAATCATAATCATTATTGATGCTTCACTGGTTATTTGAGTGTTATTTTAATAATCAACAATATTGATTCTTGACAGATTTTTATTTTATTTATTGTTTTACTTTATACCTATTTTCTTGGACTGCATGAAAATGTATTTATAAAGCTCTGCTTGTCCTGTAGATGTCACTGTGTTCTGCTGGTCAACTTACTAGACTTGTAAATTCTTCAATCAGGACTGAACAGAATGGAATTGATAAAATCTGTATCAAAACCAGCCCTAGACTGGAGTCATGTTGTGTGTACATGCTACATAATGCAATGATGCAGGCTAACACACTAAATGTCAAAATAGATCAGGTCTATAGTGATATATAGATTATACTCTTATATTTAACTTAGACCAGTGGTTCCCAGCCATGTTCATGGAGGCCCCCTAACAGTACACATTTTGGAAGTTTCCCTTATCTGAAACAGGTCTTCAAATACTTAATCTAAGCTGATGAAGCTTAGAACCAGGTGTTTTTGATTAGGGAGACAAAATGTGTACTCTCGGGGAGCTTCCTGGAACATGTTTGGGAATTAATGAAGTATAGATTTTGAAGTCTAGGTCAACCTAACTAAAATATTATATGTGACATAAAGGGGTCATATTATGAAAAATCTCATTTCTGATGACATTGTGAAATAAAAAATAGATATAAATAGAATTCACAACAACTTGGCCTGCCCAGTCATGGGAGGAGAAATTAAAATAGTTACTAAGTTATTAAAATAGTTATGCCAGATGAATGGAAAGTACCCCACATGTGCAGTTTCTGCCAACGGGATTGCACCTGCATGCTTTATATAGCACACTGAAATGCAGTGTCTGGCTATGTTCAGATCAGTCAAAAGTAAAAGATTGTTAATGAGCATAATAGAGATGTTGGGCTCATCAATACTGTTGAGACAGTTTAAAGTCTGATAAATCACATGACCCCTTTAAGTATATGACTTCATCCTCATATGTTGTGGTGATAAGATGAAGAACAGTTGGACTTACCTGGATCACACATTGGACAACACTCTCCATTAATTTCATATTCTGCATTATTACAAGTTGCCATGCAAAGCATGATTTTCATGATGAGTGTTAGTAATGTTGAGAGATTATAGTATATGCACATTTCAGGGGACTAATAAAATCATCTTCACTGGTCCAGAGGTGATTGGAGCTGAAAAAGAGATTTGTGTTAGATGCCTTTCAGAAAAAAAGAGAGAAATTGTGCCAAACCCTAACAACTCCCCAGTGTTCAATTATTAAACGTCTTCAATATGACCAATAGTGCTTTTGTCTCAATACCCACTTGTCATCGCTTTTAAATCCATTTTACTAAAATCATGGGTCTCAAAACATTATGCTTACATGAACGAACTATAGCATATGTGACCCTGGATCACAAAACCATTCACAAGTCGCACGGGTATATTTGTGGCAATAGCCAATAATACATTGGATGGGTCAAAATTATCGATTTTTCCTTTATACCAAAAATCTTTAGGATTTTAAGTAAAGAACATGTTCCATGAAGATATTTTGTGAATTTCCTATGGTAAATATATTTAAAAAATGATCTTTGAGTTGTATAGTGTATAGTTGTATCTCTGCCAAATATTATCCTACTATCGTAACAAACCATACATCAATGGAAAGATTATTTATTCAGCTTTTAGATGATGTATTGGTTTTGTGGTCCAGGGTCACATATAACATGTCAACTCAGAAAGACAGAGGGAATGACAATTGAATTTACAAAATGCCCATCTCTCATATAATGTATCCAGGAATGGAAGGTTTAAAAACTTAAACATTTTAAGATGCTGGACAGGGTTTGTTCACCCAAAAAATTAAAATTCTGTCATAATTTACTTACCTAATGCACACCTCAATTTTTGACTAATCTGCTCGATTCATATGGATTAGTTTAGTTTTACAATCTCTATGAACTTTTTGAAGCGACAAAGTGTTAGTTGAGTGGGCTGTCAATGGAGGAACAGAAATCGCTCAAATTTCTTTTAAAAGATCTTAATTTGTGATTCGAATATGATTAAGTCTTACGGGTTTGGAATGACATGTGGGTGAGTAATTGAGTCATTTAAATTCCAGATGAATCATATGGAAATCTCACAGGTAAAACTCCCACATTTATGATTTATACCAAACAGAAAAGTGGTTGAGTGGTGAAAGAACAGAATGATAAGTAATTATTTTGTCACACATAACTCTCTCTCTTTTATTTGTTTCCTGTTATGGGTTGCCACAGCCATTTGGCAGAGGTTTTATGCCGAATGCCCTTCCTGGCACAACCCAGCACTAAGAGTTCACTAACTCATGCAACTCCAGTGCTGTACGTCCAAGAATGTATTTGTTTGTTTTTTCTTTCTCCCTGTTTTTCTCTCTCTCTACTTCCCATTAACATGAAGTAATGGCTGCCACCTGACTCCAATGATTGTTTCTCTGCTGTAATTGGAGGAGGAAAGGAAGCTGTAGGGATTTAAGCAGCACCGTTCTAGTGGTTGGTGTGTGTGGAGGCGGCGTCATGAGGCTTTTCTCAACCCAAAAGCTTTGAAAGTTGTTTTTGTTTTATACTTTGTTGATTGCATTTCTTTAGTGTTAATGTGTTAACACTCTTGTGGACAAGAAATCCTTTTTGTTTTGCAAGTTACTTTGTGTTTGTATATACTTCTGTTATTGTCCATTACCTATGAAGTTTATATTGTTTATTCTTTGGGAAGGGATTAGTAGAGAGGTGTGGGTGGCATTTCCTTTTATATAAGTTTCTCTTGTTTAAGCTAGTTCTGGAGTTAGTTTTACTTATTGTACTTTTGCTTTCTTTTCTTTTTTGTAGCTTAGTTGGGTTCTGCCTAATAGTTAGAGGGTTTATGTTGTTGTTTTGGCCTTGCCCCCTTGAAGCCTGGAAATCCTGCCACATTTGTTAAAGGGACACTTCATCCATTTGCATTAAGCTTTGTATCGTTAGAAACCCAGTCATATTTTTGAATGGTCGTGCATTCAGTGGTTCTCAACTCCAGTCCTCGGGACGCACTGCTCTGCATATTGTGTATGTCTCCCTTATTTAACACACCTGATTCAGATCCTCATCTCGTTAGGATAGAGAACTGAACTGAGTAGCTGCGTCCCAATGTGCATACTATCCATCCTAAATAGTATGTGACATTAGTAATTTTCAATACTATTTAGGGCGTAGTATGCACATTGGGACGCGTCAAGTGTGTCAGATAAGAGAGACATACAAAATGTGCAGAGGAGCGGGTCCCGAGGACTGGAGTTGAGAACCACTGGTGCATTATTCCCTCATTTTTCCCTGAGACGGGAGAAATAAGGATTTCAGTGTTGCAGTTCCTGCTTATGATGTAAAAATCATCATTTTGCGTCATTCTAAGCAGGAAGTCCCATATCTTGGTAGAGGGGTTGAGACTACAAACACTCTGTCCTTATTTTCCCAGGGGGTAGGACCCACTCACGCTACAGACCTTTTACAGATCAGAGGGTGGGACTTCACTTTCTGAAACTAAAAACATTATCATCCATGTTGTTTGGAAGCTAAGCTAACAGGCGTAGTAGAGCCAGATGTGAAGTTACGACAATGGCGAAATGTACTCAATATGATATGGAAGAAGAGGATTTTGAAAGTCTGATGCTCGAATCAGATGTTCGTGGCTTCTTTTACGAGCCGCAATTTAGCGAAGAGGCTGATGAAGGAAAAGGAGGCGGCTGCCTGTCGCGGACGAGGAGCCAGGACTCTGGTGGTGCCTGTGCTCTCACTATGCGCCTACGAACACAGAAATAGAGTTTGTCTGCTGCAAAGAATTTCAATGATGCCAATTTCTCCAGGACGAAATCTCTGAATCAGATGAGGAGACGGACGTTTGTGTTGTGAACCATCCTAGTTTCGCACCGCATATGTTCTGACTGAACATCCTGGTATCATGCAATAATTCACCATTTCAAAAGAAACACAAATGAGGAGTAATTCACTAATGAGTTCGCCATCTAACTAGCCTGGTTAAAACCAGACCATGGTCTGGCAAAGCGTCATAGACAAATCATTTCCAGAGGGGCGTCACCAACAGACGCCGGGGATAGACCAAAAACCAATCAGAGCGATGAAGGAGATGACGTATGCAGAGCGGCGGAGAAACATCTCCGTGTGTTGTTCTTTGCTTGGTTTTTAACAAAAAGGAAACGTTCAAATCGCTTAAAACAGACGCGATAGCTGATTCGAACGAGTGATGTTCGACGGCGGCATCCATCTTTGTAATGTAGGCTACAAAATCTGCTTCAAAATCCCAGCGCTGTCGTCATCGTGTAAAGCCCGCCCCAACGTTTCTGATTGGTGCCTCGATTTCGACGGATTGGAAATGGGTTTGAATGAGCTCTTTGCCAGACTAACTTTCAGAGCAAATCTAAACTTGCCGGAAGTTGTCTGGGTTTTCCCAGGGTACCATCTAACTAGAAATTTTGCGTGAAATGAATTTCAAGCTCTGGTGGTAGCTAGCCTTGTAGAAGGAAGAGTGATTTCTCTGATAGGCGGATACCTCATAGGCACTGTTCTGGGTTAGTGGGAGTGGCTTGCGGAGCTATGCATTATGGGAGTTGTTGTCTTTCATACAAATACACCCTAAAGTTACTTTCTGTCTTTCCTCGGTCAAGAAGGCACCAAATTCGGAATTTATTTTACATTTCGACTACATATATTGCCCACTTTCAATAAAGATCAATGTTCCCACGGGTGAAATGCTCCTTTAAAGAACTTGTTTTGCTATTGAGTTGTTTTTGGTCATTGTTAGGGAACTGGGGTTAGGAATTGAACCTTGCGGCCTCCACTAATCCCACCATTTTTATTCTGTTACTTGTCCCACCAACCCTACACAAAATAGGGATGTAACACACACACACACACACGCACACACACACACACACACACACACACACACACACACTGCCTTCTAGGGCCAATCCATACCTGCATGTCTTTGGACTGTGGGGGAAACCCATGCAGACACAGGGAGAACATCCAAACAGTCACATATAACTATAAAAACATAAAATACTTGGTGTGCACACCAAACGCGAATTTGATTATTTTCGCAAGTAGATTACATGTGTGCACACCAAACGTGAATTTGATTATTTGCGCGAGTAGATTAGGCTACATACAAAGTCATTGCAAAGACCAAAAGGGTCGCAAATGATGCGAATTGGGCGACGGGGTTGCCGCGAATGCTCGATATTTGCCTCAATTGCGTCTTTCGCGCAAATTCGAGCGTGAAATTCGCATGACGCGTTGTCCCGCAAGCCTGTCAATCCTCAAGTAGCGCTGGAAGCGGCTGTCTGTCATCCAGGCACAGTCCCTGGAGTAGACGATGTATTTGAGGGACACACAGAGTTGTGTGCTCCTCTGGATGCTGCTGTGAACCCCAGACACCTCAGAGTTTGCCGTTGTTTCAACGTCAAGCTGCCCCTTGACAGCGTCCAGCCCCGTTTTTTCCAGAGACACACGACGAGCTGACAAAATCATGGCGCGCTCCCCACTCAGCCCGCATCAGCCAGTTCTTCTCCCATTAAGCGAGTCAGGCTTTTACAGTCATTACTTCCTTGCTCCAAAGAAGGACGGAGGCCTCATGAGACATGAGAAAAAGGCCCTCATGAGACAGACATTCAGAATGCTAACAACCAAACAAATCCTTCCGGAAATTCGCCCAGGGGACTGGTTTTTGTCATAGATCTGAAAGATGCTTACTTTCACATCCAAATAGCCCCCCATCACAGGCCGTTCTTGAGATTCGGCTTCGAGGGGCATGCTTATCAATACACGGTCCTGCCATTCGGACTGTCCCTGGCTCCTCGTACGTTTACAAAGTGCATAGCCATTTCCCCCCTGAGACAGCGGGGAATGCGCATTTTGAACTACCTTGATGACTGGCTCATTCTAGACCAGTCGGAGGCCGAACTACTGAACCACAGATCCTGGCACCTCAGCCATCTGGAATGCCTCAGGCTCAGGATAAACTTTTCCAAGAGCATGCTGTTCCCCATCCAGCGTATAACCTTCCCGAGGACAGTTGTCGACTCTGTTCAAATGAGAGATTGGCTCACGCCAGACTGTGCTCTCTCTATCCAACAGCTAGCAGCTTAATTC